ATTCGACCATCTATCGACTGCTCTACTACAGTTGTGGTAGAAGGTCTACCTATAGTGGGCTAAGGTGGTGGTGGGGGATAGTATAGTGGGACATATTATAGATATGGATAAGTAAGAGGGCCAGCATATGAAGGTTGGGGTGGGGTGGGTAGTAAGCATAGAAGGGAGTACTCTACATGACGTCTGGAGAAGGAATGTAGGGGTCTGTTAAGTATAATTATAGGTTTCTTATTGTAGGAGTAGGTAAAGGAAAGCTAGGCTCACTCTAAGTGTGAGGCTGAGAATAAGATATCCTCTTAATATGAACAGAGCTACTTGGTGGGCCACTAGTCATCTTCTTATTGTGCTTTTGATTTTTTTTTTTTTATTATTCCTCATTTAGGCTCATCACTTGAAGCTATTTATATAAAAAAAAAGAAATATTAGCAAACAGAAATTATAATAAAAAGTTAATATAAAAATATAAAGTAACTAAATAAATGAAGTAGAGTAATAAAAAAATAAAAAATTAACTATTGGCATATTATTTAAATAAATCATATTATTACTATAGATTTTTTATTCATAATTAATTATAAAAACTCTTTTATGTTATATTGATTAACTTTTAGATGATGAAACATCTATACCACTATACGATTCCTCATGACTTTACTCTATGTTTAAATTTACTTCCTCTAACTACAACGTAATCTCAATAATGGAAATTTGATCATCTACATCATTAGCAAGATATTTTAATTTTAAAATAAATTCTTCTTGATGTGTTGGTGATATTGATGTGATTTTCTTAATAACTCCACTAGGTTTTGTCTTCATAACTATGAGTCAATCTTGTTTGCGTTGTACTCTACTCAAATGTTTAGAAAAATAGACCTGGCTTGTCTAAATTGCAATGATTAATGAGTCAAACTTTTAATATCTCCTACCATGCTTAACTTCTGTTATACCATAAAGAAGATGTATTCTTGTATCTCTATTCTATACTGAATCAAACCACTCACAATTGAGTAGATATACATTATTCACATAACTAGAATATTCCAACTGTAATATTCTTTATAATACCCTGTAGTACTCAGAATCATCGCCTATATGGGTGTTCCCTCTTACACATATATTAGAATTTTCTGTCAACCTACCTTCACAATAAAATTTTGTTTGAATTTGTACTTATTAACTAAAAAAATTGGATAACATTTCCCTACTCTATTTGGTTCCAAAGCTAGATCAACTAGCCCATGATACTGCAAATCACTGCCTTGAGTGTGCACCTAGTTAGTTGATAAAGTATATTATTAGAATATTTATTAAATAATTACAAATATATTACTTGAAATGAATAGTCTAAATATGTACAGTATTTTTTAACTAATTAGTGAATTATATTTCCACTATTTTTTGGACTTCTACTCATTCTGATGTATTCAAACAATTAATAAAAGTCCTACAAATATTATGGTTTAGATTGAATTTATGTGTAACAAATTTATGAGGAAGCTAAGTCATACTTACTCGAGATATGACTCAACTTCATCATAGTTAAGCAAGATATATAATATGACAATTCTCATCTTCTTATCAATTAAATAGCACATGGTGCTAGTGCCTACGGGTTCACCACTTTTATTTAATATAGATAAATTTGAGAATTTACCTACATTATACGGTACAATACTCTAGCTTGATTATGATGATGTTTCAAAGTAATATGAACAAAATTGAATTTTCTCATATATTAAATATGCTTTACATATTGAGCCTTCAGGATATGCTTTACTCTTAGCAATTTTCTTAAGTTTATTTAAATACCTCTCAAAATGATACATCAACTTATACTGAATAGGTCCACCGACTATAGCACCATATAGTAAATGCATGGGAAGATGCTCCATAGAGTATAAAAAACTAAAGTAAATATCTTCTCAAGTTTACATAGAATAAAAGAGATATGCTGCTCCATAAGAATCCGGTGCTTTGCATATTATTTTGAAGAGCATAAATCCTTAAACAAGATACTTAACTTGATCAAGGGCTTTAAAATTTTATCTGGCAGATAATTAATGAAAGTTGGTAGTAGATATTACATAAAGAAATGATAGACATAACATTTCAAACCCAATAATTTCATAGATCTTATGCCAAAACAGCAACCTATATTTAAAGAATATCCATTAGGCACCAGTAGAGTTTTCACTCATTCACAAATTACTCATCTCTGCTCTAAAGTTAAGGTGAAAGGTGCTTTTGGTTTGAAAAATTTTTATTTCCACCATCCTTTAATTCTAATGCTTTCCTCTTATAAATTTTCTTTTAAGTCCATCAATGCTTTTATGTTGTCTTTGAATTTATCTTTAATATTCATGACTATATTTAATGTGTTATCAAAAACATTTTTTTTATATATGTATCAAATCCAAGTTATGTTTAATTAGGTTTGTCCTCTAATATAGATATGACCATAAAATATTTTTTTTTGTCCAATTGTGGTTGACATCATACCATGGCAATTTGTAATCAGCTAATATTGGAGAATCCACTCTTGTGGTCATGCATCTTACTCTTTTAAATATTTCTTTACTAGTTAATTTAGGAGGATGCTGTGACATCACCACTTTATGTTAATAAAAGCATCCTTATTTTGCCTGAAAGAAGGACTAATTGGTAAGAACATGTGATAACCATCTAATCAAGTATTCTTTTTCCATGATTTAAAGTGAATGACTTTGTATATTCCATATAATATGGACAAGTTAACTTACTAGAAGTATTCCAACCTGAAAGCATACCTCACCAATTATCCAAAGTAATGCTTCCCTCATAATGAAGTTTTGTTTGGTGGAGATATCATATGTGCTTACTCCTTTATCCCATAATAAATTTATTTCATCAATTAATGATTGTATGAATACATTTTATCTTTGCTTTTGGATTATGTGGTCCTAGAATAATAAGTATTAGAAATATATAAGGACTAGTCATACATAACTCTGGGGAAAGATTGAATTTGGTGAGTATAATGGGCCAATATCAGTAAGGTGAAGCAGACTAATTAAATGAAGTAAAACCATATGTGCATAACTTAATCTTACATATCTTGATTATATGGTGAAGGTGAGATGTATATGATTAAAGTGTTTCTAGGCATCTACTTCTGACAAATATATAATAAAATCTTCTGGTGAGATGTGTTCATTATGCCATCTCATATGTATACTTCTTTCATTTTTTTTTTCATGATATATTTTAATTTAAATCTTGGTGCAATTTGAGTAACAACATGTAATCTCTGATTGATCATTTTTAAAGAAAAAACATGTATCCATTAACATAACAATCTATCTTTGTGTATGTCAAACTAAGTTTTGAAACAAACTTCTTAGTCTGATAAACATTTATAGGAATTATGTTTTCTGTTGGGTGGTGTTCTTAAGTAGGCAAATTAATTGATTAAAACATTCACGGGAAATATTATATTATGTCTTAATGCTTAACATCTTAATAGCAATAGATAGCTCTGAGTGAGTGGTGCGCCTCTTCCATATTAGTTTTGGAGAAGCATGTAACAAATCATAAAAATTTGGTGCCTTCTTACTTGATGACTATCTATATATTATTAAAATTGTGCTCTAGTTGCATCATGAACTAAGACCTCAAGAGAGATTCAGATGTTTTATTCCTCAACTATATTAAAACTTGTCAACGGGCCACATTGAGAATTCAAATGTGGCTCAAAATCACAATGACAAGTCCAATAATAATATTCTGACATGTAGCCCTCATTGAAAAATCTGTCAGCCTCTGTTCAAGGGAAATACAAAGAGTCTTAGCTTGCTCGGAACACCATCATTTTATGTGACTAAACCATCCAAGGTGATGCTCTCTAACCTTATCTTATATTGGAGCTACTTCAACCTTCTCACATGTATGCTCATTTTGTATACTTTTGATAAGAGTAAATCTACTACTCATCCAACTGAGCATTGTCATCTTTGCAACACTTAACTTAATATTATGCTTATCTTTTAATGGTAAATATTCTAAATTATAAAGCATTATAGGTCTCACTAACATCTTATATAGTTTTACCTTAAGTTTAAGGAGGACTTTTCTATTATATAAGAAGGCCCAATGCATTCCTCCAATTCAACCATCCAACTTTAATTCTACTAATAATATCCTCATATATTTCACCTTAAATAGATAAAGATATAAATAATGTGTACTCATTTAGGGCATCTTGCTAACACGAGTGGATCAAACAATGTGGGAGAGCATTATGTGATTGCCCAATGTCACAACCCCCTCAATAGGTCTATTACTACTAAAATTACACTTCATATATTAAGTTTTAGATTTACTTATGTGAAAACCTTTATACTCTAAAGTTGACCTACATAATTTAAGGTTACCTTCAACTCCCTCTCTACTATTATCAACAAGAAGAATAACATCAGCAAAAAGCATACACTAAGATGCATGCTCTTGTAAATGTCTTATCTACATTCTCTTGCAAATGTCTTGTGAGAAAATCCATAACAAAAGCAAAAAAGCATACACCATGGGTAATTTTTTTACAAATGTCTAGTGAGAACATCCATAACAAAAGCAAAAATCATACGCCATGATACATTCTCTTAGTGGAGGAAGGTCACGTATGGAATGGGGTGGCAATAATGCGTTAAAAGGAGGCATCGACTTTAGGAAACCAATGGCGGCAAACATGTGCAAGCTTTGCAGTGAATGCTAGTGAGGAATTGTCACAATAGCGGTAGCATTTGTGGAATCTCACTAACACGAGTAAATCAAACCGAGAAGAGGGAAAGAAATGAGATAAAAGATGGCGGAGAGGTCAAAATTGGGCTTGCTCCATCAAACTTTCTAGCAGATTATCCATCGGTTATAATACCGGTAGATAATATATCGAAAAACATTCATTGAGTTTAAGTAACCCAAGCTCTATAACTACTTAGAATGTGTTGGCTCATAAATATTTTATTAAACTTAGAAATGTCATTACTTCTTTTTCCTAGTTTGAAGGATAATTCATTTTGGAGAGTTTGGAAGGATTTAAGAAAATGCTTAGAAAATGCCCTCACCATACTTTACCTAATTGGTTTATGATTCAAATATTTTATAATGGAGTACTAGGATCTTATAGAGCTATAATTGATGCTATAGTTGGAGGATCATTAAAATCTAAGCCATTTGAAGAAGCCTATGAACTAATAAAGGAAATGACAACTATATTTTTCAGTGTTCTATTGATAGGGCTGTTGAAACTTATTTAATATGAATTAGGATATTAGACCTAAGCTTATGTCGCAGCAGCTAACCAAGAGGGGGCGAATTGGTAATTTAAAAATTTTCCCTCTTTATATTTTAAAAATAATAAAATTTTTAATGAAAGTTTTTGAAAAAGATTTTTCAACCACAGATTAAAACTAGAACAATAAAGTAAAAAAGAAAGAGAAAAATAAAAAGACACAAGATTTATAGTGGTTTGGTCAAACACGACCTACATCCACTACCCGGAGGCACCCTCTGAGTATTGCACTAATACCACTAGTTGAAATTACTAAATGACAAGAGGGGGGGTGAATTATAAAAATCTTTTTCTTAATAAAATTAACCCTAAACAAGAGTTCTAATTTTTTTGTTGTTTTTGAAATTTTATAACAAAATCTTAAGCAAGTTTTCTTCCACAAAATTTCACCATGCCATAGTTATGAAAATTAAATGCAAGTAAAAAGTAAACAACAAAATCCCCCTGTGTGTGTGCATGATTGCTCTTACTCTTATGCATTTTGTGGCCAGACTCAATAAAATAAATAGAAAAATACAATGTTTGACTCATACTCCTAATCTACCCGGTCTTGAGTCTTCCTTTCGTCCTGAGTCACTTGTGATCTTCCTGAAATGTTAGTACTCAAGGACAATAGCAAATAAAATAATATTCAATGAATAGTTGTTCCAAAACACTCATTATTTGACAGCATCAAAATCTCAAACTCGGGGTCATGGGTTGCAACACTAGTGTCTCTCCTTTTGCCCCCACAACAAGGCGGAGAAGCCTTCACAAAAACTCTCTTCCACCACTGCCCGGTGCGGCAGAGAACCATCATCCTTTTACATCCTCGAAGTGTATATAGAGTACCTCCCACTGTTCACACTCTACAAGTGTAGGTAGAGAACCCTTCATCCTTTCACACTCTCCAAGTGTAGGCAAAGAACATTTCATCCTTTCACACTCTCCAAGTGTAGGCAGAGAACCTTCCCGTTGTTCACGCTCCATGAGTGTCGGTAGAGAACCGGATCTTCTTAAAAGATCTTCTCACGAGAAATTTAGAAGGACGAGAGAGAAGAGTGAAGTAATCACAATTCATAGTTGGAGATTCTTACCTTTGAGTACCAAGTGAACCCTTTATGCTCCAGTAGTATGAATCCTCCTTCAAACACTCTCTCACACTCTCTCCTTCAATCTCTCTTAAGTTTGGATGAAGACCAATGAACAAAAAGATTACAAGATAGTTTTAATTGGACCTTTTATATGAAAGACACAAAAAATCATCCAAAAAATATAAACTTTCAATTCTGCACGCACTCGATTATCTCGTACGATCGTAATTTCATACGTACGAATAGTGTAAAAACTCTTGCGTACAAACCCAATGTGCATTGGTACAAAATGACTTCGTACTATAGCATTATCCCGTACGAACTAAGTTCGTCCGTTACGAACAGTTATATCAAGGGTTTGTTTGGACTAAACTACAGGACGGTCCATATTTTTAAGGAACAAAGGACATCATCCTGGAACGATTGTACAAGTTCGTCTAGATGAATAGAATAAAGAATGAGTCTAGAGAACATCATCCTGGGATGAATAGAACACTTTGTTTGGATGAATAGTTTAAAGTGAGAATCCATAGGACATCATCCAGGGATGAATAGAACACTTCGTCTGGACGAATAGTTCAAAGTGAGAATCCAGAGGACATCGTCTAAGGACGAATAGAAAAATTCATCTAGATGACAAGGACTTATAAAATTTTTCTCTTTCTGTTCGTTCCATTGCTCTCTGAGGGGTATAATTTACCTGATCATCTTGTACAAACATGGTTCGTCCCGTACGATCAGTATAAGAAATTTTGACTCTTAAAGATCTCCCCTAGTGTGTGTGTGTTAGGTTGCTCAATTACAATCACATTCTCTCAGACTCAATAAAGTGAAAAATACAGACTTCAATTTACAAACTATCTTATACTGAATTTTATTTTAAGTCTTCATTAGTCTGGAGTACGATTATCCTGAAATGTTAGTCCATACAAGAGTAAAAACAATTTTTCTAAGAAATGTTAGGAGAAAATAATAATTAGAACATTAATATTTGAAATCATCAAAATTAAACAAGTTGCAAGAATGTAAAACATACAAAAGCTAAGTAGCAACTCTCTTAACAATCTCCCCCTTTTTGATGATGGCAAAACAATTATTGTTTGCATACTTTTCAAATTCTTAAGTATCTCCTAAACTCCCCTTGAATTAGTAAGCATGTGAGAATAAGGGGCATTTGAACATAAAAATTTTTATTTTTAAAATTTTTAACACACAATCATTTGAACACAAATGCAACGATAACACAACTGCAAAATGCAATGATCAAACAAATGCAATGATAGTTATGAACAAAATAATAGTTACGAAAAATATTTCGCCCCTTTTTGACAACAGCAAAAAGTGAAGAAGAAAAAGAACAAAATAAAGAAATGTTAGAAGTCATATGAAAAGCCTTTAATAATTGACCCTTTGAAAGAGATTGAGATATATTTGCAAATAAAAAATTAAAGTTCATTAGAGAAATAGATAAATTCATATGATTTAAGAAGAGATATAACATAGGCAATAATAAAATTATCAAAAACATGAATCAATTTAGACAATGAGATAAACAAAATCATTGCAAAGGAGATGAATGTAAAATTTGTATATTTCAAATTTAAATATCAAATAAAATTGTATAGAAGATTAATTTGAATTGAAAGATTTAAAGATTAGGGAAAGAATCAAATACCACTTGTGGCACTTTGCGCATCTTTTCAATCTTTGTTGCAAATTTTGTGCATCTTTTTCAATTTGTGAACCACTGCTCATTCTTTTGATATTTTATACTTTTGTATATTTTCAAGTGTAATTTTGATCTTTCCAAAATCAATAATCTAAAATCTCAAATTTCTCTAAATACAATAATATTTATATTGATAAGAGAAACATAAAATAAGAAAACATCATAATTGTAATAATAAAAATTATATTAGTCTAACAAGAGACATGAGATTGACATTCTTAACTAGATCAAGTTATAATAACAACTTAAATTTTGAAAAATTCGATTTTTCTAATGAATTCAATTTTATGAATTGTAATTCAAGATATAGCACTTGTGAGATCAAATATTTGAGGATGATCATATAGGCTAAAACACATTTCTAAAATGAAATAAAAAATAGTAAAACAAGATAGGATAACTTTTATTTATATCATTGATAAAAGATGATACATTGAGCATAAATGATATCAATACACTGACATTTGAAAAAACAAATAAAACACAAGACTAACTAACACAAAACATAATATAAAACATAAAAACATAACTGCTAACCTCACATCACATCACATTTAGTAGAGAAAATTATAATGAAGTAAAGTCATCACTCATAGGGGCCCTGATATGGAGGAGGTTGCTGGTTGTAGAAGTTAAAATGGCTACTCATCATAGCTATTTTTGAGCTTATACCATTAATTTGCTCTCGCATGCAACCCATATCCTGTTGGTACTATGCATCCTACTGTTGTAGATGAGTTTCAATTTGATCAAAGCATTGATCAAAATGAGTCTCAAGATGATCAAACCTGTGAACCAAATCTTCAAAATTTGGTTCACCAGCAGGTGTAGGTGGAGGTCCTCTTCTTTCCTCCTCTGAGTCACTACTAATTACTTGGTGTTCTTTATTAACAATTGCTCAGAAAGATCCATCATTGTAATAGAGATGCTCCTTAAGATTTTGAACTGGATGGACTAGGTCATATTTGTTTTCCAAAATATAGGTCACAAGATGTCCTAAGGCTATATTTTTCTTTATTTTATGAGAGACATGGCCAATCTCAGAAAGTTCATAAATGTAGTTAATGATCAGTTGGGCTTCATCTATAGGTTGGCTAGTCATAATAAGATAATTCACTGTGGAAAGAAGAGGTGTGATATTTACTCGATCACCAGCTTTAGGAATGATGGAGGTACGAAGAACATGCTGGATGATTCAGGCATTTTGATTAAGAGATGACACCTTGGGTATATGACTAATCCCTCCATACCCTCTAATAACATCATTTATTACAGACCAGTCAAAGTTAGAGGAAGAGGTTAAAGTATGGGCTCTAATCCCTTGAGTCCTTAAGTTTAAAAATATTCCCAAATCAGCTTTTGTAATCTCTACTTTCTTCCTAAAAATATGCGATCTAATCACAGTTTTATCATAGTTGAAGGATATATTGGGAAGGAAGTAGTCAAAAATCTCCTTATTGTAGAGATGGATCATTGCGAGAATGAGACCAAACTGGGTGGAAGCAGAAAGGTGCATTACCTTGAAAGTGAGTTGTTCTTAGAGAAGGACTCTAGAGGGAGTGATTTTGGCGAATGTGAATCTAGGGAAGGACTCCTCATTTGCTTTCAACAGAAATTTTTCTCTTGAGTTTTAGGGGGTCCCTTAGTAAGAATCTTTTGCTTTTTGCTTGAACTAGACATGAAGAAGATCTAGGGGAATAGAGGATTGAAAGTGATTTTTGAAGTGATGAAATTTGAGTTCAAAACTCTTCAATTTAAAGAAAAAATGAACTTTCGTACGAATAAAAAGAATTTCATCCAGTACGATTTTGGGTTCGTACGTACAAAATAAATTTGGATGGATGAACAAGTGAGTCCAAAAATGATATGACTTTTTGTAAACACATAATTTACGAGGCATCCTTTCTTAGAGACTTTTGACCAAATGATCGTACAGACGAACAGGTGTTCGTCTGAGACGATCAGATATTTAAGATTAT